TAGAGTAGAGTAGAGTAGAGTAGAGTAGAGTAGAGTAGAGTAGAGTAGAGTGGACTAGACTAGAGTAGAGTAGGGTAGGGTAGGGTAGGGTAGGGTAGGGTAGAGTAGAGTAGAGTGGACTAGAGTAGAGTAGAGTAGGGTAGTGTAGGGTAGGGTAGAGTAGAGTAGAGTAGAGTAGAGTAGAGTGGACTAGACTAGAGTAGAGTAGAGTAGAGTAGGGTAGGGTAGGGTAGGGTAGGGTAGGGTAGAGTAGAGTAGAGTAGAGTAGAGTAGAGTAGAGTAGAGCCGAGCAGAGTAAAGCTGGTGGAAACAGGGCTCACTATTGCACATTTTTTTCCCAGTTGAAAAACACTAAACTCTCATTGGGATCTTGTTTTCTTTAATATACTGTAGCTGTTAATGAATGAACTTATACATGATTTCCCCTCATCAAATTAAGTCAGGTACGGGTCAGGTACAGGTGAGGTACGGGTCAGGTCAGGTACGGGTCAGGTGAGGTAAGGGTCAGGTACGGGTCAGGTCAGGTACGGGTCAGGTCAGGTAAGGGTCAGGTACGGGTCAGGTCAGGTACGGGTCAGGTCAGGTACGGGTCAGGTCAGGTAAGGGTCAGGTATGGGTCAGGTACAGGTGAGGTAAGGGTCAGGTACGGGACAGGTCGGGCTCAGTCAGATCTTTGAGTGAGGACAGCACCAGGAGTCTGGACTCTTCTTTGTTTTTTTACACCAACACATGATTGTCCAGTGAGTAGATATACAGTACAGGATTAACCCTTTGTGAGCACGACTTTACAGAACAGAATTAGCCAGACATTTGTACATCTATAAAACACTATCCAACTCGACAAGTCAAACAGAAAATACACAAGCTCTTCTGGCGGTGTGGACATGGAGACATCCCTCAGATAGAAATAATGTTATGGTGATGGTGTCTGCTTGTTCTTTTTTTTCTCTTTACTTATTGCATGCTATTGTTAAACACAACAAATCAAACGATAAACAGGAACAGGTGTTTGAACAATATGGTGGAGAATTCAAATGTTTTTCACAGCATTGAACGCCCTCGTCTTGCACAGTGTCAGTTCTGCAGTTCAGGTTTCGCTGAGTTTTAAACAGTTCTAGTTGCATCTGTCTGTTTGTCTGTCTCTTTTTCTCTCTCTCTATCTCTCTATCTATCTATGGATTTACAATAAGCACTATTTTGCTCGCTGAAGTATTCACAGAATACAGTGAATGTTTCGTTTTGAAGTACAGTCGCTGAATGCATAAACGACCCAGGTTCCAAAAGTCAACGAGGCAGAGAACAATCTGAACGTTGAGAATTCAAAATGGAATTTACTTTAAAAAATATATAATACACAAGCGTCTTTGCGTGTTAGTGCTGGAAAATTCAATCCTTGTTTATTTTAGTTTGAAAACTCTACACACAGGTGAAACTCGGTAAGTTAGAATATCATTTACTTCTGTATTTTAATTTAATTTAATTTGAAAGAAATGTATGATATAGACTCATTACACAAAGAGGATGGACAGGCTGAATGTGACATCGTAGAGACATCCCATAATAGATCCATGCCTCAGATAGAAATAATGTTATGGTTATGGTGTCTACTTGTGGACAGAATTGAAGGCAGAACATTAAGCTAGCTAGAGCTAATTTTCTTATATCGGCGTTAGCTTCGTGCCGTAAAGATAAGACGGTTTCTGAGGCCTGTGAAATAAAACCTCTGAGCGTTAAGTTGATATAATTTAGATATGCATAAGTTGCGAATATTACTATTATTATTTCTATTATTTGACTCAATTACATTAACTTAATCATAGTTATTTAAATGTATTCACTTCTGTTTTGTGTAGTAGTAGTTTGTCACTCCCTCGATGTCTGAGGTCAAGGTTAGGGTTTGGTTGTGTTATGTTCTGTTCATGATTTTGGCCTCATTTACTTGACATTTTGGACATTTATTGGCTAATTAAAATAGCCTCAAACTTCAAATGATTTTGTGTTTCCTGTCTCACCATTGGTCCCATACATCTGCTCTGCTCCTGACCCTAACAAAAAAGCCTCTCCGATTATTTCGAAAATGGACCATAAATGGACATATATTGGCTTCACTTTATAAGTTGAACAACAGAAATATATGCATTTTTAAAAGATATTCTACTTTCTTGAGTTTCACCTGTAGATCCTTGAAGGAAGATTTTTTTGCAGAGTAACACCTCATATTTTATTTACTAAATCTTATTTTATTTTTCCTACAGCAAATATTATTCTATGCTTCATTGAAATATGGAAATATAACATTTATTGCCATCATATCTGGGTTAGTGTTGGCTGTGAAGGCAATCGGGCAAAGACTGGGTATCGTGTTATGATCCTGTAGCTAATGCTAAATGCTAACGGCTTCTCACTGACGTTGTCTCTGGTCGGATGCAGTACCTGTTGAATAAGCATCACTTTTTCCTCAATCGTCATGTTCTGTAAACATTTTGTTCCCTGCCAAAAAACAAGGATCCAAAAATGGTTTGAACATTGTTTTTAAAGGCATAGAAGGTTCCTTTACTAAGACAAAGAGAGTAGAGAAGCTAGTTTGGCTTAATTATCACATACATAATTGAGCAGACTGTCGGACTGGCCACGCCACCTCAGATCCTGACCACGCCCTCTCAGAGCCGTGAGTCTGGCCACGCCCCCGTCACGGTCTGGTGAAGTGAGTCCCAAGTGTGATTCAGTGGACACGCCCAGACCGTCAACAGAGACGATCTTGTCCTTTCTGTCATCGTTGGGTAATGAATGAAAGGATGAGATATCGGAGGAGGGGAGGTAGAGCTTTGACTGCAGACGCTGCTCCCTCATGACCAGAGGTGAAGAGACTGAGCGGTGAATCCAGAGATTTCTCTTTTAACTCTGCTGTCTGTTCCCGTTCCCCCGTTCGTCCAATTTTTTTGTCTTTCTTTTCTCTTTCTGTGTCGTCCCAACCCATGATGTGATGTTCTCTTCTGCAGTGACCACATGTTGCTGATTTTAGTTTTCCCCTTAGAGCAGGCATGTCAAAGTCAAATACATCAGAGGGCCAAAAAAACAAATTTGCTGCGAGCCGAGGGCCGGACTGGTTCGATGCCCGCGGGCCTTGACTTTGACAGATGTGCCTTAGAGAATCAATTTTGAACTTTGAAGTTCTTCCTGTTTCTCTGATTTGTGTTTTGTTGCTGGTTCTAAATGGAAATCTGTACATGAACTTACACTTCCAGAGAGTTTAAAGTTACTTCTCTGGAGGCCTGAGGGGGCGTGGTCAATATGAAGAGGCGTGGTCAGTCTTTGATTTAGCGGTACTAGCTTCTTGACTCCCTTTGTCTTATTAGAAGAACCACATGAACCTTAAACATAAAGACAACATAATGAACATTTTACATTACGTTTTTAAAACATTAATGTTGTGATCAGACAGTGCATGTACCGGAGGCAACACAGGGAAGACTCAGCTCCGTTAGCTACATGTTAGCTACGTTTTAGCTTCACGTTAGCTTCATGTTAGCTCCATTTTAGCTCCATGTTAGTCAGACTCAGACTTGTTCTTCTTTGCTACACTCAGTTTAGTTGGATATAAAAATTCTGCCTGTTGTTTCATATAGATATGACTTTATTTTAGTACAAATATACATTGTTATTTCATTATAAGAAATATTTTTTTTCAAGGAATAGTCTTGAAGAATCATGAAGTGCAAAAGTAAGATTGGCTCTTGGAAAGCTCCCTCTGAATCCTAAACAAAGCGCTCTGAAATGCACTTTTCTGTTAAAGCCTGCAGCACTCTGAAGTTTAAGGTGGAACTGGGAAATAAATCCTCCCAAAGCTTTCAATTTCTGTGATTCTACTTTAAATGTGAAATCAACACATGATACAGACTCATTACAAAGTGACTTATGCCTTTGTTCTTCATAATGTTAATGATTGTGGAGTTCAGTCCAATTTCAATGATCAACATCAAAACAGATCTCTATCATATTAGTTCCACATTGTCCAATCCGTCCATTTTATTCTGCTATGACTGCAGACGCGGCTCACTGAAAACCAGATGCTGCACATTATAAGTTGAATTACAGAAGTATATAGACTTTGGAACAATATTCTAATGTTCCCAGTTCCACCGGCATCGACTACAGGAAGCTAACCTTGATTGGTCCACTCCTGGTGCGAAAGGCCTTCATGCGATTGTCCATACTTCCATACTTCCTCCACTTTAGGCACAAGACCTTTTTCCTCATGAGACTCTCCATGACGTAGATCACTGTGATGCGACATCACTGAACCTTTCACAGTGAAAGATTAAATATTCCAACGAGACGATGGAGCCACAAACATGTCGACAGAAACCAGGGTCTTATATATACGTCATGCTCGGAGGCAGCTCTACAAAAATACATGCATCATGTTTTTGATTTTGAAGAAATATAGAATGATTGGCTCTTGGAGACTCCACCGGTGTCTAGAGATGAAGTTTAATACATAATTTGGTTCATTATTGAGCTCATTAGTATAAAATAGTAGGGAGGAATATTTCATTTGAGTGATTGGCCATGTCTCTGGGCCAAAAGTATTTTATCTCTATTTTTTCATTTATTAGAAATTGCTCCTTAAATTACACATTCACCCACACAATTTAAAATACAATAAGTAAAAATATTAGTGGTTGTTGTGTGTTCTCATACATGCACACAAACATTGTTTTACTTATTTAAAAAAGTCAGCAATTATTTTCTTATAAAACACAGCTTATTCAAAATAGTTTTCCTGTTTTGTTTTCTATCAGAATTTCTTTTTGATGCAGTATATTTTGTATAAGACGTTTTACTTGGATCCATTAAATAATCAGCGTCTTGCTACACTGACTGAGTAGAAAAAGTAGAAATGCGTTTGCAACAGTCAGAGTGTCACTGAGGCCCTGGAGAGAATGTTTTCAAAAGAAGCAGATCTGGGGCCTGTCCAATGGGGGAGGACATCTGTGGCTTTAGGAGGAGCGGTCATCGTGGGGGCTCCCGTCCGAGTTCTCCGTGTCCCCCTCAGAAATGGCTTGCATCGGGGCTGTGTAGAGCCGGCTGCGCGTGCTGTAGCGACTGCTGCTGGCCACCGGGGGCACCCTGGAGCGGCCCTGACGAGACGCTGCCGACATGGCCAGGGTTTTGGGCGTGAAGCTCTCTGTGTTGGCTCGGGGGTAGAGGCCTGGGATGTGGACCGGCTCCAGGTTTGAGAGGGCAGCTTCTTGGAGAGCAGAGGATAGGTCTTCGTTCTGTCTCATGGGTCCGTCATGAAGAGACTCCCCGGGGGTCTTCGGGGTAATCGGGCTCTTGAGAATCTCGATCGCCGACATGCGATAGCTGGTATCAGATCGACTGCCTTTCTTCAGCAGGAGAAGTTTGAATTCCTCGTTTGAAGTGCTTGACTTTTTGGCACTGCGGTAGATTGGTACGGGGACGCGAGGAGGTCCGGCAGCACACACCGGAAGTACGGGAACGCTGGCCGGAGGAGCTGGGGGGACAATTATGGTGGGGATGGTCCCACTGGTCACGGGGGGAGGAAGGCAGAGGCGAGACTTTGCATTTATGTCTCCAGAATCTTTACGGCCTAACACCTTCCTCTTGGATCTGGAAAAAAAACAGATGAAAGATAAAATATTGAAAACGATTATGATTATGATTTTGATCTTACAACAAGTTAAAACGTACTATTATGTCCTATTTTGGTAGAATTGAGGCTCATGGTCCAAAATGTTTTTTTTTTAATTGTTTTTTTTTGTAAAAAATATTATATTTTACAGTCTCAGTCATTCTATTAGCCTGGCTCTTCCAGACCCGTGTGGTTCCGCCATGCTCCACCAGAGGCGTTTGGCTGAAACACATGGGTCTGGGATCCACGCCATACCAAACTCCTTCAGCAGATCAGAAAATAATCGACCAATCAGGATCGCCGGTGTCAGGTTTGCACCGCCTTCTCAAGCAGTCTCATGCAGCAGCGAAAGGAAAGATGGCGGACACAAAGTCCGTGAATCTTTTTTAAAGTATAAATACGAACAATTTAAGATGCAATATGAGGCGAGATGTTGATAGTTCTATGTTGATATATGTGTGTTTTAAGAGTCAAATGTTTGTGTAAAGTTTGGTTTAAGTACTTGTTCAGTGTTCCTGTTTACAACACTATGCAGCGGGGTTGCCAGGTTGGGTGGTTCCCGCATACTTTTTTCCAAGAGATTTGTAGGTAATAAATAAACAGAAAGTCAATAAACAGAATCATGATAGCCCAAGTTGATTAAATTGCGTTTTTAGTCAAAAAATCATTCTGAGTGTTTTTTTTTTGGGGGCATTCTCCTGGATTTGGGGCTGGAAAATTTCTCGCTTTTTCCTTCTGGGTTTCTGAGTGGATCCACTCTGAGGCAGGAGGGTCTAAGGACAGTGATGATCCGGGACATTTATGCACATTTATTAACATTTCTGGACAGTGGCCATCCTATGGACCAATGGCTCCTATGTGTTTGTTATTAATGCATTTCCTGAGTTTGAATTGTTTGATTCTCTGATCTGTTGTTGGAGAATCCACAATACATTGAATTGAAACATGATTGTGGTTTCCAAATCAGTCCATTCTTTAGTATTGAAATTGATATTGTAATTTTTTCATGACACTATTCTGAGTCAAGTAGTCTCATTAACAGTCAGGTAATCAGCGCAACCGATACCGTGGACCACATGGAAACCCTGGATCAGGGAATGAAGTGTGAGTACCTGTGTATCATGGCAAACAAATCTTCTGTCGTACGGCTCTTATTTGGGGATGTAATAATGATGTCATCATCCATTCTTCCATCATCCATCACCGGCGACAGCGAGTTGTCACTGGGAGTAGAATCTGAAGAAACAACATGTTCAACATGATTTTTTTCATACATTTGGGAACAGTGTTAAAGGGACAGTATGCATTATGCACGCTACAAGAAGCTCCTTAACACTGATTACAGATGCAGACCACCTGCTAGAGTTTAACTAGAAACAGTTTTTACTGTTTCTAGTTAAACTCCAGCAGGTGGAAAACGTATTACACATAACTTATATTTGTATCTGCTTTCATGTAAGAGCCACAACCTAATATAATGGACATCAAGACCATTGTATTTTAATGAAGAATAACAGCAGTTTAAACTGTTGTTCTACAAACATAACATGTGAAGTGTACCTGTAAGTAAGTTAGTAAGTTAGTAAGTAAGTTTTTTATTTATATACCGCCTTTTCACTGCAGATCTGAGTCTCAAAGCGGTTTACAATTGTTAATTTTGGGCATTTGTCTCTCACTCCACACAGAGATGGGAGCGGGGCCAGTACAGGAGGCACATGCCAGAACTATTGGGCATATTTTTAGTGGTAGGGGAAACCGGAGTACCCGGAGGAAACCTACGCAGACACGGGGAGAACATGCAAACTCCACTCAGAAAGGCCCTGGTCCGACCGGGATTCGAACCCAGGACCTTCTTGCTGAGAGGCGAGAGTGCTATCCACTCAGCCACCGTGCCGCCCTGTGACATGTTATAGATGACACATATATGTACCTGTGACCTGTGGTCAGAGAACACATACAGAATAGGTCTATGCAATCTCTATTAGAAAATGACATACAGTCCCTTTATTCAGATGCACACCTTTATAGCACAGGTGCGAACTCTTCTAAAGCCCTGTTTCCACCACCCCTACTCGGCTCTACTCTACTCCAATGTGATGCCTAGAAAACATCTTCATATGGATGACTTGCTACACATGGGTTTGATTACATATACTGTGGAAACACATTATAATTTATTTCTGTAGTATTTTTGAGTAATAAAACATCTTCTCTTTTGTTTCCCCTTATATGTTTAGGTTTATGTAAGTTTAAATAAAAGATTCTACGATAACTCAAGAACGCAACTATTTCTATATCAATAATTGGATAGAGGAGATTTCTCGAAAAACTTGGTACAGCCCTAGATCTTACCTTTACTAAAGTAGTCCTCTGTATCAGGAGTCGTGGAGTCATCTTTACTCTCGAAGAACTGCTGCTGATGGGCACTTCTGGTAGCACCTGACGTCACCTCCTCCTCTCCGACATGATCTTCGGGTCCTCCTCTTCTCACATCGCTGATTAGGTAAGGATGCGATGTCTCTGCTGTGGAACCAGGCACTTTGAGTGGACTAGACCAGGGCCCTGAGTCAGAATGGTATCCCCCGTAGGCTGGGGGTGGAGGGTGGTCGGCTTTAATGCTTAATCGGGAACATACTGGTCTTAGCGGCTCCTTAACTGCTTCCTCCTCCTCCTCTTCTTCTTCTTCGTCGTCATCGTCATCTTGTGAAAACGAACGCTCCCCCAAAACTCTGAACTCTGGATGGCCTTTACTCGAATGTGAGAGCCCTCTGAACTCTGTGTGAGACTGTATGTGTGTGTGTAGATCGACAGGGGAAGGATGCGGAGCCCGTGGGACAGGCCTATGCAAAGGAGAACTTTCATCTGGATCCGATAATGGATCTATTCGTGTTCTGAATCCAGTCATTGACCAGAATGTTCCTGGGGCGTACCGATCATGTCTGAACAGTAGGCTTTCGTATGAAGGAGGCCCATCTGGATGCCGGCCTGGGGGAGTCGGCTGCGAATGTTCCGGCGAGAATGCATGCTCATGTCCCGGGGGTCTTGGTGGCGGTCTACGAGGTGGCAACGGCCTGGAACTAACAGGGGGAGCAAGAGAGGAGCTCATGTGTGGACATTTAGGTCTGGTGGCTGTCTCTGGAGCACTGGTCTCCTGGTCAGTACTACTCGAGCTGTCGGTGGACTTGTTCGTTGAATGTTGCTGCCCTAAACGTGGTGCCGGTAGATTAGATGACGTCAGATTTGAGTTTGGAATTGGAGCAGAGGAGACTGGACATGGTGGAGGGGCGCTGTACGACATTTCTGGACTTAGTAGCTTTGCCCCAGCGTTAAACACATTCCCAACTCTGTGCTTATTGTAGTGTAAGGTATGAATGTGATGTGTCCTGTGAGATAGCGTGTGTCGGACATGGCCACCGTGAAGAATGCTGAGATCAAGCTGAGAGGGTGGAGGAGGGAAATCTGGGTCTCTCTTGTAACCACAGGAAAGGGACGTCCCATCTCGTGGAAAGTGCTGCAGGGAAGACAGAGAGGACTTTCTTTCCGGCACTTTCGGCTTTCTTTTGCCCGTTGACGGAGACAGTGGTCCTGGGAAGAATGCTGCAGACGAGGGCAGTGTAGAAGTTGGAGTTTCTGATTGACTTGAGTAACCGCTTGATGGTGAAGCGAGGCCAGCCAGTTTTTCAGGGGATGCCAGTTTAAAGTCCGGAGGTGGGGGACAGGTTTCTGAAACCTGGAGAGCAGCTTGTATTTGTGTGTCTGTTGAGGATGAAGAGCTCCCTGGCGATTTGATGCAGTCCATAACTGTTGTCCCCGTAGCTGTGCTGGAGTTGGACATTGATGTGTATTCACCGTTGGTTGTTTTTTCAGAGTTATGTAGCCACAGGTCTGCATAGTCAGATTGTACGGCGCCTTCATCTTTAAAAGAGTGGGTGTCTGCAGAGCTAAAAGACATGGGCTCAACTATATCTACCGTTTCTCTCAGACCCACCCCCCATGTTCCCAAAGGCTCTGCTACAAGACAGGAAGTCTGCAGTTGATCAGGACCACCATTTAATTCAAGCTCTAGCTTCATATCCATGGAAGACGTTGAAAGTTCGTGTTCACTAACCATCTTTGGTTGATCATGCTCTATCTGTGTGTCTGTACCAACATCTACACAGCTACTAGGCTCCTTCAATGAGGAGGTGCGTTTTGGTGGTGGAGGTTTAACTTTTGGTTTTCTCAGTGGACGACAAGTCCTTCCTAAAGTCATCGTACCAGATGAGAAGTTGTAAACTCCATGTTGTAGTGGTGCTGCCACAGTGTTTTGGCCACTCTCAGACCCTTGTTCTGCATAGTTATACATGTACCCTCTGTATGTCTGGTTGCAATCTCCAGAGTTCACAGGAGAGAAATAGAAACTGTCCGTGTCGACTGGGTATCCATCTTTGTCCATGCTGCAAGTTTGATCTGGCACACCTTTGGAGCTGTATTCCTGGGATAGTCCATGATTCTGATTTTGAGTCAGGTCATTTTCTTGGTCAGGGTCTATTTGGTCCTGATCAGGAGGATATGCCCACTCCCCTTCGCTGGCTGTACTCACTCCTGCGTCATCCAGCTGATCTGTGGCTGAGGATGTGAAGGAACTGGACCTGTGACCCTGGCCTTGGGGTCTCAAATCTGTGTGGTACGCAGGGTCTAACGAGTACCCTTCATCGCTGGCGTTGGGCACAGTGTTGAGCGAGAGTTCTGAGTCGCAGTGGGACGATCCAGTTAAAGGTGGGGACGAGGGAGGTGGGATCGTTTCGGAGGTCTGCGAGGGACAGGTTGAACTGGATCCGCTCCAATTGCCGCTTGACGATTGGTGATCCTCTTTATGATCCACGTTGGTCCCCATCACTCCAGTCGTGGACACTGAGTGAATTGGGCTGCTGAACGTATCTGAACTCGAGGAGATCTCACAGCTGCCCATATCTGCTTTACGAGGCATCCGAGACCTGCCTCTCTCCATCCAGTTGTGCTCCGGACTTCCCCCTCCTCTGTCTCCCGATCGCTGCAGCCGTTTGAGGGTCCCGAGCTGTAAAGGCTCAGGTGCAGCTTGGTCATCGGTGCTCTCCTCCTCATCTTTCATCATCATCATTTTCATCCTGGGACTGGGCCCTGACGGAATAAAGTCCTCGGCTTCGTACGGGGACAGCTCTTCGTCCTCCTCGTCATCATCATCATCGTCGTAGTTGTCGTCGTCGTCATCTTCATCGCTGTCCAGGAGTCGGCCGCCCTCTCGCGGGAGGCTGCGGGATCTGAGGCGGCTGTGGCTGGTGGAGCGGCTGTAGGTGGACTCCGATGGGTCGTCCAGGACCGAGATGTTTCCGGTGGAATGGGACAGGGAGGCGGGGAGCCCTTGATGACCTCGTTGGGCTCGGATGCGCCGTCGAGAGGGAGCAGCTGTACCTACGAGGAAAAGGTGAAGGAGTGAGAATTGTGAAAAGGCAAGTCCAAGGCATTTCAACAGCTATGAGTGAGAGGATGAGCATATGGATCAACCACAATAGTAACATTCAGTGTACCTATGTGTATAAATGTAATAATTTTGGACCTCCCTTGGTCTGGTTTGATAGATAGTGTTTTTATTCTATTATTTTACCTACCACAGCCTTCAAAAAGCCCTGTGAAGGAGTTGCTTACTATTTGTGTCATCATAATCACTATTTATCACTAATCTACTTAGGAAACTTACATGCTATAAGGAAGTCATCGGTCTGGCAGCCAGAATCGCGGGTGTGTGATAGACGACCACTGATTGAGAGGTCTTCTTCACACAAAGAGAGTTGGTGAGGGTTGGCGTGAACAATCACGGTGCGCTCTCTTGTTGCCACTGGTGATTCATCTGAATCTAAATACAGACACATCTTCAGGTCAAATGTTTGCTCTTATGGTTTTTTAATACCAGATTAGAATGCACAGAATTTTATGAGGTTGTTAAGACATTTTGAGGGAGGTTATCTACGTTGTCAGGTGTCTGAGTAAGCTAACGGATATGTCGTACAAGTCCTCTCAAACATACCCATGTCATGTTGCACTCTTTTGGGGATCCCCGTGATGGTCTTCCTCCGCCTTAGTTTTCTTCTTCTCTGCAGCACAGACTGGGAATGGACGAGGGAGCAGCGAGCGCTAGCTTCTCGGTCAAAGCCAACTCCTGGTAAACATACAAAGAATGCATAGTTGGTTAACAAAATGTTTGTATTACAGTAATACAATACATTGACAGAGGTCAGGAGAAGTCTTTGCATTAGAAAATATTATTTGTTTTTTTCTATCAGTTATTCAGTTGACAATACAAGATTTGGATGCATGAAATGCCCACACAGACATTACAACCCAGACCGGGTTAAATGAGCTCAGTCATAGAATACAAGGCACAAGATCTTATAATGTTTTGGAAAGTGGCATCAACATGGGGCAATCTTAGTAGGTACGCAGTTTTATATGCAATTTGACTTGATACATTTCCAAAAGTGACGGTTGGTAAGGACAGTAGGATTGTATAAGTGGTGTATGATTTTATCGATGGTGCATGGTGGTGGGGTACACCGGAGCGCCTGGAGGAAATCCACCCAGACACGAGAAGAAACATGCAAACTCAAAACAGAAACAGAGGTTCTTGATCATAGCGTGGATGGAGCTCAGAGGCCCCAGGACACATGGTGTCGCTGTGGATGGCCTTACCCGTGACGTTGATGGGAATGATGCAGGAGGAGACAGGGTTGGGGTCCGGGGAGGTGTGCTTCTCCCGGGTCCAGCTGGTCTGCTTGTCCTGCATGGTGGGCGTAGCTGGGGACGGAGCTTTGGCTTTTTTCTCTCCTGGAACCTCAGCCACCTCACACTCGCTTGTCGAGGTAGACTGAGAGAGAGAGAGGAGCATTAACACAAGTTGGAGGTGAGAAAGTTGTTACATGATTAATCTAAATCATATTTCTTGAATAGTTTTGTGAGAGGGCATCTACTCTCACAATGGTCAAATTTATGTCATAGCAGTAGTATGTGCTGTGCTTTTGGAAAATGTACCTACGCTTTTACAGTTATCTTTCAACATTTTTTACACATCTGCTTGGCTAATACCGATTTCAAGATTCAAATGAAGAGAGACAGTGATCAGGGAGAGGCCAGAGAGAGACCAGAGAGACTAGGAAGAGACAAGAAAGAAAGACCAGGGAGAGTCAGAGAGACCACTTCTTTATAAATAACTAGACCAGCAGTAGAGTGCTGACAATTAAGATGTCAAACGTTGTGAGTATTTGTCTCATGTGGATTGTTCAAGGAATTAGCTCTAAACAAAGACAAACTAATCTGACTTTTGTCAGTTTTTACCATATTACCAGGGTTTTTCAACTGGCTTCCACCACAATGTGTATCTACATAAATCCAGGAGACTGGACCAAACTCATGCAGAATCCAGCAGAAACAGTTCGAGGTCAGTTTAACAGTCAGAAACTGAGCTTCTGTGTGAAAATGATTTTTTTTTCTGATTTTATTCATAATAGTGGGTTTTTTGTGAAATACTTTGAATATTGCTTTCACTTAAGCACTGTTTCCACCAGCCCTACGCTACTCTACTTTACCCTACTCTACTCTACTCCAATCAACTGACAGTGATTGGCTAGAGTGCTGCCGAAGCCATGATTACCAAGGAATTTCCACAGATACTGGTTTGTTGTGTGTAGTTTGCAAGTATACACTACCAGATACTCAAGGATAATGGAAACACAACCAGGTGTAGAGAAGAGTAGAGGAGGGCAAGATGGATACATGTTCTGGTGTACATTAGAGTTGTCACTCTCCTGTTCCAGTTAGCCAAAGGGGTGTTTTTATACATGTAGTGTAGTATCATGCAGAGGTGTGGACTCGAGTCATGTGACTTGGACTCGAGTCAGACTCGAGTCATGATTTTGATGACTTTAGACTCGACTTGACCAAATATAAAAAGACTTGCAACTCGACTTGGACTTTAACATCAATGACTCTGACTTTCACTTGGACTTGCGCCAATTGACTTGCAAAGACTTGCGTAACCCGGGCCATTTTTACCTTTCTCCGCATCTCTCTTTCTATCTATGCCGTCTCTGAAGAAACAAAGCCTCGCGGTAGTTGTAGCGCTCGCGCGAGAGTTCGAACGTGAGTTCCAGGCAGTTCGCGCAGCAACACTTCCCTAAACAAGCGGACTGCATTCACCGGTGGGTGTGTTGTCGTAGGGGAGCTGGAAATGAGCGAGCTGCAGGTATTTATCGCAACCTAACGTCATATTTTGTTCTACAAACCGTAATTGATATGCTTTCACTACAGGCGCCTCATACAATTGAATCGACGCAGTTGTCACACTCTGTGCCGTGTTTTAAAGAGGAACTGGTGAGTCAAACTAGCGCTAGCCTGCGCTGCTCTGTTAGCTATTTCTTATATTTTTCTGTGTGCGTGCCGAGGCCTATTATTATGAGTATGTTTTTGCTGTGCTCCTCCTGCTAAAGTTTGCATACATTAGATAGTTGTTTTGATTATGTGCACTAAGCTAGATTAATATTTGCACTATTGTTTATGGTGCATTGATATGAGAATCAGTGCTTTGACTGATTGAATTAATTTATATGAGACATTTTATTATGTAATGATATATTGGTAATTATGAGATATTACTAATGCTGGCCCAGTTCATACAGGCCGGGGTCCTTCCCCTCCATTGGTCCCTTCAGTCCTTTGGAACAATAACCACTACGGACATTAAACTGATTATATAGATACAGGTCCTAGCCCAATACTCATATTCATATATGCTGCACTTGCTACTTCCCATTAAAAACCCCAAAGATAAAAAGTATGTTGACATGGACTGCTCTGATTTTATGTGTGGTCTGTGCATGTGTAACTGAGCCTGCATCTGGCACAACATCCAATTAGATCACGTAGATAGTTTTGATTTATCAGCAGCCAACGACATGGAACAAACTGTTAGTCCATGGGTCAGAGACCAACGAGAATGCACCAGCAAAATGATTCCTAACATTATTTTGTTTGCCTACAAAAGTAGGTGGAGACCAACAAGAAACAAATCGCGGTCAAAAAGACTCGAGAGGACTCGAAAGTCAAACCGTAGGACTTGGGACTGACTTGAGATTTGTTGGCCTTTGACTTGGACTCGACTCGGGACTTGCCTGTCTTGACTCGTGACTTGACTCGGGACTTGAGGGCAATGAATTGAGACTGACTTGTGACTTGCTAAACAATGACTTTGTCCCACCTCTGGTATCATGTATAGTGTGGGCCTCCAGCACTGATGTCACAAACCTATTCCAACAGTGGGTATTCACAGTTTATATTTTAACACTTCAAAATAACAGAGAGGTGTAAAAAGTGGCTGATACCTTTCTATTCCATGGAATGAAGTTGCAACCATCGATTGGATGAAGTGAGTAAAAACACTCAAACTATAAAGATAGAGCACGGAAAATAAAAATACAACAACATAAATGGGACCATGAGAAATGAGGCTTTTAGAAACAGCATTTTAGAACAACTTTAACTTAAAACAATGTCAGCAAGATTCAAAAACAAGTCCACGACAGAGGTCTGCGTCTGCCTCACCTTTCTCTGCACCTCCTCCCGCACAGACCTCTCCTGGTCACAAACACACAGAGGGCAGAGTTAAAGACAGAAGAATGAGCCAGAATTCTGCTCATTATAATGTGTAAATATGTCGTGTTGTCACCAGACCCAGACCAAGACCCAGACCCAGACCTAGACCAAGACCTAAACCAGACCATACCTAGACCTAGACCTAAACTAGAACAGACCTAGAGCTTGACCAGAACAGAATGGAAAATTATTTGAATAGTTGTCTGTTCTGAAAATGTGTAAAAAAGTTATTTTCCTCCCGCTGCAGAGAGAAACTTGAGAGAGACCAGAGAGAGATCAGAGAGAGAGCAGACAGGAGAGAAACCAGAGGAATACCAGAGAGACCAGAGAGAGTAGAGACACCAAAGAGACATCATAGAGAGAGACTAAAGAGAGACCAGAGAGGTCCCTTTGAGAACCGAGTAGAATATCCCTGGATTATATTGTCACTGTTGGAGCTAAAATTATTGAGTTGATTTAGCAGTTTTACCTTTTTCTGTCCGGTCTGAAGTTCAGTTTCTCTCACGGTCATCTCTTTCCTGGTCTGATAGTCCAGCTCGAGCTCCCGCTGCTCTCTCTCTTGCTGCAAAAGTAAAAAAAAAGATATACAGTATGCTACTTGGTTTTGAGTGTATTTAATGTTATTGTCATTTTTGAGGTTTTCTTTTCTTTGCCTGAGACAGGGACTGGAACATAAAAGTATAAAGATGGGCAATGCTAACCCCCTGGCTCAATGAGAAGTGCTCATGGACAAAGTTTTGCTTTAACTCTGTCTGGCTGCAATTGACTCACATTTAAAAGTCTGCTCCTAGTTCAGTGATCGTTTGTGTCACACTCACAGCTTTAATCTGTGGTTTAGTGCTCTCCGTGATCCTGATGTTTATATTGTGATAATGTCTTTGTAAATCCAGATATGAGCAATGATTTACGGAGGGGAAACTCGGAATAAATGACTATGGAAATTGGCTTCAGCCAGTTTATAGACCAGATAGAGTGACCAAAACGAGAGACCAGAGAGAGACAAGTGAGAGAGTCCAGAGAAAGTCCAGCGAGAGAGACCAGAGGGGTTGCAGACTCACAGCTCTGGCTAGGCGGCTCCTCTGCTGCCTGCGGATGGTGTGTGGTGAGGGGAATGTGGGCATAGGGGGCGCCATTGAGATGGAGATGGTCACACGGTTCCTCTCTCGACTCGACGATCTCTTCTGCAACTCATCTGCAAAACATCCAAATAACATTATTAGTTATATGTCGTCTGTTGGCTCTTTCTACTACCATCTCGTCTTAACGCTAAGACTCCCACAATTAAAAAACTTCTACTCCCAGAGCCGTCATTTTGACTGCTCGTATTGAAACCAATTGGACTTGGTAATTGCCCCAAAAATGGGAGATATTTCCTCAAAAATGTTGCGTACCTTTACTCACTTTTACTAAATGCTATAACTGGTGAATATAACTAGTTGAAATACAGCAAAAAGCAGTCTGCTAAAAGGCTAATGCTAACTGGTAGTTGGTAAACATTATGTTGCTATAGCATTGAGTTCTGTCTCTACCAAGCCCTGATGATCAAAGATGGCAGACTTTCATTGAAAGATCAGCGGTTCATACCTTTAAAGCTCTAGGTTTGCTGTCAGCTGAGATCGAGTAGTTTTAGTTGGACGTTGAGTTCTATGAGACATAGAACTACTGTGGACTAGTATTGAAAATTAGTACCTGTGCTATAACACTTACAGCAATGCATCTGGTTCGTCCTATGTTATTGTTATGTCCATATTAAATAAAAAATAAATAAATAAAACATTTTTCTGGCTATCCCTTGTGAATGTAGTCTGAAGTACCGCAGGTGTCCCCCATGCCCGTACTCAGAAAGGGTAGAACTAGTCTCATTTCAAAAGTAAAAGAAAATGTCATAAAATAAGCTAAAAATTGAAGACCAAAAATGTAATTATACTTAGAAAACTAAAGGTTGTTAAATTGACTGCTCTGGAACTAGTTTTAAAGCTGGGGTCCGTGACTTCTCTTGTTTAAGGTACATTTTGTGAACAGATACAACCATCTTTTACACCCTGAGAGCTGATTGGCTGAGTGAGGTTGATCCTCTCTTTTTCACTTGTGACACTATGAAAACTATACCAAGACCAGGACCATACCAGATCAAGACCAGACCCAGAACCTGGCACAGACTAGGCCTAAATCAGACCCAGAGTAGATCCAGAGCAGACCGAAATCATACCTAAACCAGACCCAGACCGGACCAAGACCAGACCTAGACCAGAGGCCAAAATTACATGCATGTGAAAGAACCAAGCAGTTTTAGAGCCACTAGAGACATTTTATTTATTTTATTGCATAGTTAATATTTGGTAGATATAGGCTCTCTACATTTAAGTCCCATTTCCCATGTTTCTGATTTTAATTTTAAAACCATTGGTGCTTTCAGGGCAGAGCAGACGTCACAAGAAACAAAACAATTAACTAATTAATACAGGCAAGGAAATTATAATTAGAACGGTTTAGTAATCGATAGATGGCGCTCATGTGACATCACAGCGTTCCCAAGAGCCTATTTAACACTGCAGTATAGAGGGCGGCTGAAAAAACTGACCAGGTAACTATGGTAACAGTATAAAAGTCAGATTGAAAGTCTTACTTTTGAGATAATGTCTCTGTCAATCCCAGAACAATTTCAATGAAAAACAATCTCTCAGGATGGTGATCGTCTTTGTACCAACTGTTCTTTCTGGGCTCTCTCTCTGGTCTCTCCTTCCGATCTTTCTGAGGGTTCTTTCTGGTATCCATCTCTGGTCTCTCTCTCACTGGTCTGTCTGGTCTCTCTCTCTGGTCTCTCTCTCACTGGTCTGTCTGGTCTCTCTCTCACTGGTCTGGCTGGTCTCTCTTTCTGGTTTCTCTCTGGTCTCTCTCTGGTCTCTCTCTCTGGTCTCTTTTTCCAGTTTCCCTGCTGTATCTCTGTTCTCCCCTTGTTAGGGGTAACAACAGAGCATTCTCTTTTAAAAACCGCTTCTTTGGCTCTGGTTTTGGTGTTTGGGCTTGTACCTTGTTGCAGAGCTCGGAGGCAGAAGTGGGCATTCCGGTGCTGCTCCTCCAAACATGGCGGCCTGGTGCAGGGGTGGATCATACTGTGGGACTGGTGCCATTGGGCCTGGTAGTGGAGCGACAGCTTACTCTCCTTCTCCAGGTTCGACACGGCTGCAGAGAAAGACAAGAAGATCCATTAAAGTCAAAAGTCTATGAGAAAGAACACAAGTTGTCAGTCTGCCAAAAGTAGAGTAATCAACTGAGAGCAAAATAAACATATAAATAATATTGTAGTGAAGCATCCTGTGATATAAAGGCAAAAATAAGAATGAAAAACACCAGTTTAGATGACATTCTACACTACTTAGATCTAGATACAATTAGATTTTGATTTATTTCAGAATAATATGATTTTAACTTCTTCAATGTCCATGTTTCAAAAATATCAATGCGTCAGTTTCATGAAGTTGTTTACCATTCATTCTATAAATAGTGATGATAAACTACTACTGTAGCCACAACAACAACAACAGAAACTGGTGTTCTCAGAGGTTTCCCATCACATCCCTAACCAGGCCCCACCCTGCTTATCTACAAAAGTCTGACAGAATCAGCCTTTCCTGTGCAGATGACCACACATCCTGGTCATCACCAAAGCAAAGTAAGTACAACAACGTCTGCTGTTATTGTATTGTTATTGTCTACAGAAGCTCCTGCAGTCCTCGACCTCACCACCAGATGGTGACAGAAACGCCCCAGTCCACGCACCCAAACACATCTGCAGACCTCTTCTCTCTCATGTATATTTAATTAACACAATTACACAACATGCAGTGAACAATGCACTTTTCAGGATGGTCTTTTATCTCTTCACAAAAACCCCTCGAGCTGCTGTGATGTCGCATGTTTGCCTCATTTTTAAGTCAGGATTCAAAACACATTTAAGTCAGTGAAGCCGCGATGTGGACCAGTAGCCAGGCAACCTTCCAGCGCTCATCAAGGCTCCTTTGTCCACAGTTAAATCAGCTCCACGCAGCAGCACATTGAGATTCAGGGTCTGGAGACACACACAGGGATGCTACTGATGCTACATAAACAATCACTGTTCTTATCGGCTTCAAACGAGACATATACTCTCTGCTTCATGTGGGTGTGTTTTTACCACTTCTAAATCTACATCTAAAGAGGCCTTCACTTCACTTCAATTCCATGTATGTGTGTATAGCCCCAAATCACAACAGCAGTCGTAACAACAGATCAGAAAATCAAACAGTTTGAACACAGGAAATGCAAGAATGCAAGAACACAGCGGAGCCATGGGTCCAGAGGGAGCGGGATGACCACTGTCCAGAAATGTTCATAAGTGTGTAGACATGTCCCGGATCCATACTAAACTTGGACCCTCCTGCATCAGAGAGGAACCACTCAGAAAAGTGAGAAACCTCGGGAAGGCCCAAATTGAGAGAGGGATCTGCTCCCGAACGGACGGTCCCGAACGGACGGTCTAAAGCTGTAGATCCAGTATTAATTAAATGATTTAACTAATTATTTGTATTTTAAAACATACAGTATCTGCCCCTTATATGATATATGATATACTGTACATCGTTTTGAAGATAATTTTTATCAAGAAAACAGCCAAAGCATTTATTTTACCTTTTATTCTAATGAAGCAATAATTCAAAGTGAACATTAAACATTAAACCCAGTCTACATTATAAAGACTTGTTGCTTTTTGTCCAGTTTTGTTTCAATCTGAGCAGAGAGAGAACAGAGAGACCAGAGAGAGACCAGAGAGAGACCAGAGAGAGACCAGAGAGAGACCAGAGAGAGGGACCAGAGAGAGACCAGAGAGAGGGACCAGAGAGAGACCAGAGAGAGGGACCACAGGGAGACAAGAGAGAGACAAGAGAGAGACAAGAGAGAGACCAGAGAGCGACCAGAGAAAGAGACCAGAGAGCTTATGGCCTGGTCCTGGCTGAGCACAGTCCTGTACTCGAGTCCTGTACTCGAGTCCTGTACTCGAGTCCTGTACTCGAGTGCGGAACCAAAGGGGTATTTTTAAAGCGGGTGGGTTTGATTTGTGCCAAGTGAAGCTTTAAAGATGAAAGTTCATAATTTATGTAACGCATGTGTTTCTAGGTCAGTGTGTTACGGTGACAGCAGAGACGCTCTCTCGGCTTTTACTTTTAAACATATTTAGAACACACAATAAATATCATTTCATTGCCTTGAAATAAAAAAATACAAAACTTGTCAAAGAAAGAGAATAAAAGCATGAAAATCCTCTGTCGCCTTCCTGCAGATATATCTCTCTCATACTTCACATGATAAAAATGGGCAAGTTTAGTTGTATTGCACAGTTCATACACAAGTCAACTTGAAGTGATAAACAAAGAAGGGAAACATTCAAATCAAGCACGGCATTAATCATAAATAATCATCAATTTGATTCATACTGGGGCTTCTTGGGTGGTTGTGTAGCTCTGTGGTTGTGTACATTGTGTGGTTATGTATATTGTATAGTTGTGAGTCATCATTAGGAACTACCTCACCAGCTCCCACCAGCTCCCACCAGCTCCCACAAGCCCAAACCAGCACCAACCAGCACCAACCAGGACCCACCAGGACCCACCAGGACCCACCAGGACCCATGCAAAGTCACATTCCACCTCCTAATTCAGTAAATAAGATTGTGCATATGTGCATGTCCCCTGAACTGGTCTTCTTTGTGTGTGTGTGTATGTGTGTGTGTGTGTGTGTGTATCTGTGTGTATGTGTGTGTTAGAGGGATGGCACGAGACATTGGCGTGTTATTTTTAACTGTGTGTCTCCATGGAAACGGGAGGCTGAGGGTAGTCTCCCGCTGTGAGCCGCGAGCAGAGGGCGACTGTGGTCACTGTGTGTTTGTGTGTGTGCGTGCGTGAGTGTGTGTGTGTGTGTGTGTATGTGTGTGCCTGTATTTGTGTGTGTGCGTGCATGTCTTTGTGTGTGTGCATGATTTTTGTATGTGTGTGTCTGTTTAATTGTGTGTGTGTGTTAATATTGATTGTTGTTCAGTTGTTGTATTGTTTGTGTGATGAATGTTGACCATGCATTTCCTTCAGGAGGACTAATCTCTCTCTTTGTCACTTTTATTTCTGATATAGTTGATAAAGCAGTGACAGAGGCTAAAACACACACATGTGAAAACTACACCAAGACCAGGACCAGGAGGACCAGAACTAAGACCAAGACTAGACTGAGCCCTCGTCCAAAACCCGATAGAAGAAACTGTTTTAGAGCCAGGAACGACTTTGATCTTGGGTAGCTAAAGGTTTTTTGTGGTTAGAAAGTCAGGCAACCCTGCTTTAATTATGTATTTCAAAACGTAACTAAACTACCGCTTAAATAAAATCTTTCCAATCCTTTGTTTTTAGAGTTGTTGATGTTAATATTTGTTTTGTGTTTTGAACAAAATGGAGCATAAAACTTGGAGAGACTGGATTCTGAGCTTTAACATGAGCTTTGACGATACATTATGTCTATAATGGGTCAGATTTGATGGAGCTGGAGTTGGCTGAATGACAAGTGTTCACTCACCAGATACATTCGCGCCATACAATCTAAAAGAAATGTGAGAACAGTTGAACAAAGTCAACAACCAAAAGGACCAGAGAGAGAACAGAGAGACACCAGAGAGAGAGAACAGAGAGAGACCAGAGCGAAACCAGTGAGAGACCAGAGAAAGAGACCAGAGAGAGACCAGAGAGAGATCAGAGAGAGAACAGAGAGACACCAGAGATACACCAGGGAGAGAGAGCAGAGAGAGACCAGAGCGAAACCAGTGAGAGACAAGAGAAAGAGACCAGAGAGAGATCAGAAAGAGACCAGAGAGAAACCAGTGAGAGGCCAAAGAACGAGACCAGATAGAGATCAGAGAGGGACCAGAGAGAAACCAATGAGACCAGAGAGAGAGAGACCAAAGAGAAAGACACCAGAGAAAAAAACAGATAGAGAGCTCAGACAGTTGAAGCAGCAACAGTGAGTAGAAACAGAGTTTTATCAATAGCAAAGGAAAACTACTTTGCCTGAATCTGTAAACGTCCATGTTACGTCCCCTCTAAACTCCCCTTTATATTGAGGAAACACACTCAGACAATGGACTCCGTCTGATGGCCTCTTCATCCAGCTGCTCTGAATGTGCTTTGACAGGTCACATGACATGAATCTGGTCCATAGATTTTTGGAGGGAGGAGGGGGAGAGAGCTTTTCAGGTGAACGCTGTACCTCAGATAACCTGGGACTCAACAAACCCTCATCGACTGGAGTCAGCTTGTCAATCAAAAAGCTTTCAAAGGATTTCATATCGACGTGAGAGATTCCCAACTCCACATTAAAACTTGTCGGTTATTGATAGAATAAAGAGACAGGTATTGTATTGATGATTCACTTTGAAGAGATTGAGTCAAATGTTCTCAGGTCTCTGTCCTGAAGGCCTCTCACATTACTCCTGGTCTCAAGCCAGACTTTAAAGCAGCTCTGCTTAGTCTCTCCATGGCCTCACACCAAAGCCTCACACGAAAGTACATCTGTGACATGTTAGAGCCATATGAACAAACTCGGACTCTGAGGAGAGCCGAGAGAGACCACAGAGAGACCAGGGAGAGAGACCAGAGAGAGACCAGAAAGAAGAGAAATAGACACCCAAGAGTGAGATCAAAAAGAGACCAGAGCGAGACCAGAGGGAGAAAGACCAGAGAGAGAGACACAGATATAAATTGACACGAATTCAATTTATTCTTGTACAGCCCCAACAATAACCCCAACCTTCGACTACAAACACAAGACCAGAGAGAGACCAGAAAAAGGACCTGCGAGAGACCAGAGAGAGAGAGAAAGGTCCGCAAATAACTCAACTTCACAATTCAGAACGCACCAAAAACCAGTTGTGTGAACCACTTCCCAGAATAGCCCCTGCTGCAGTTTGGTGACGGTCGTGGGGGATCTGCAGAGTGGCACCTCTCCCTGGGCGCAATGCATTCTGGGAGAGAAGCGCGGGCCGGGTTTTCACAGCTTTAATCTTTAAGGAGTTGCCATAGAAACAGCGCCGTTGGTTTGATAACAGTCTTAAAGCGAGACGTAAAGAAAAGAGGCCATCTGACTCTGAGAGTGAACTAAAGCTCTGTTTCCATCAGCCCTACTCTACTCTTCTTTACACTACTCTACTCTTCTCTGCTCTACTCTACTCTACTCTACTCTACTGTACTCTACTCTACTCTACCTGGTTGTTTCCATTACCCCCTAGTATCTAGTACTGTACCCAAGCAAACTACCCATAACAAACCAGTATCTGTGGAAATTCCTAGGGTAGAGTAGAGTAGAGCAGTGTAGGGTAGAGTAGAGTAGAGTAGAGTAGAGTAGAGTAGAGTAGAGTAGAGTAGAGTAGAGTAGAGTAGGGTAGGGTAGAGTAGAGTAGAGTAGACTTGTGAAGTGTAGAAAAGTGTAAAGTAGAGTAGATTTGAGTAGAGAAGAGTAGAGTAGTGTAGAGTAGAACAGTGTAGAGAGTAGAGTAGAGCAGAGTATAGTAGAGCAGTGTAGAGTAGAGTAGAGTAGAGTAGAGTAGAGTAGAGTAGAGAAACCTCAAAGCAAGAAAACGTAAACAAGTTTTATTTTGTTGATTTAATGTTTAAACCAGACATGTCCAAACTGAGGCCTGGGGGCCCTCTGCGGTCCTCTGTGTGATGTCATGTGCCGCTAACACAAAGTAGTCCTTGAGATCCTAAACACAAGTCCACAGTGTCATCCAGCCAACTTCAGCTTTCTACTCTAAAGTTAGAGAATGACAGTACTAAACAGTCAGAATAATTGATTGGACCAAACACAGCTATCGTCATGGAAACCAACCCTCACTGAACGCATAAATTGTTATTATTATTCACTTTTTTCCTCCAGCAGACCCTTTATAATTCTGTGTCTTTGACCTGATGTGCCTCCGGTTGAACCCTGTGAACCCTGTGATCCTATTGGAGAAATAGCATATCACTCAAAGGCACGTAATCCAACCTCTACTGCGGTCGCACAGAACTGCAGCAATACTCACAATTATCACCGAGATTTTCCAAACTCGCACACACTTACAAACATACACACACACTCACACAAATACACACACTCACACACACAGGCACCCGCACCACACCAGTGTATAAGAGACACAGAGGGTGTGCGGGTTAAAGATGCAGTCAGTGATTTTTCCAGATGCATTTTTTGAAATATTGTGGGAAAAACGTCACTAAACCCTAAAAGTAGTCAAGTTATCATGTTTTCAAATAGTAATGGAATTGACCAGATGGCTATAGTCCTCAAAAATTTATAAAAAATATTTTGGAGCGGACCGATACAAATAAACCAATGGGATTCGTTACCCTCTTTCACCCTCTTCCTGTTTCTCGCGAGTATGCACACCTGAGTTATCGGATTCTTTTCTAAAACCTAAAAGGGCTGAACAGAAAAGGCCAAAAAGAAAGTAAAATGCTGGATGTTTGGTTTGGTTTGGTGGAAAGGCGAGGGGAGGGGGGAATGGTTTCGAGTTGGTGCTACGGCTAAGCTAACAAGATTGCCAACTGGATCTTTAAGTGTCTTGCCCAACAACACAGCAGCAGTCACTAATGGCAGCTCGTTCACCTGCCAACCCATCGATCTGACCTCTTAACCAGTGATAACAAGAATAGGATTTGAACCACCAACCTCTAGCTGTTGTATTTTGTGTGCTTCTATTAACCACAGATAATGTATATTACAAACACTACTTGTACAGCGTTTTGGATTACTATTTCTGAAATTCTAAAATAATTCAGTACTAAATTTGAGCAGTGTCCCTTGTCGATAGTATTGGGGTTCTCTGGAGACGTAAAATAAAGATATAATTTTATTTTATATGTAAAATGTAGCATGCTATTAACAAGAATTCTATACTTTCTTCTTTATGATGCTAAAGTTAGGGATTTTATAATATTTTTGTATAGAGTTATTGTTCTTTTAACTTGTGCTGTGTGCTTCTTCTTCCTACTGTTCTGTAACTGGTGATGCAACACTGAAATGTCCCCACTGTGTGACAAAAAATTAATTAACTTATTAAGTCGAGTGATGAAAGATCTTTAAATACTGCTTGCTATTTTAATCCTGTTGAGTATAATCACAATTTAGAAGAATGTTCAGTTGAATCAGGAAAAAGAAAGAAAGCATAAAAAGGTGTGGGGAAAAATCTTATCATTAGACTGAGTGGATAGCACTCTCGCCTCTCAGCAAGAAGGTCCTGGGTTCGAATCCCAGTCGGACCAGGGCCTTTCTGAGTGGAGTTTGCATGTTCTCCCTGTGTCTGCTCCGGTTTCCTCCGGGTGCTCCGGTTTCCCCTACCACAAAAAATATGTACAGTAGGTTCTGGCATGCGCCTCCTGTTCGGCGACCCCGCTCCCATCTCTGTGTGGAGTGAGAGACAAGTGCCCAAAAATAACAATTGTAAACCGCTTTGAGACTCTGGTCTGTGAAAGGCGGTATATAAATAAAGATTACTTACTTACTTACTTACATTTGAAAGAAAATCTGATTGTTAGGAATGTGTTTGGTTTCTTTGGCGTGAGCGCTGTATTTTTGTCTGTTCTTGTTATTTCTTC